CGCACGCCCGGAACACGTCCTCCTGCGTGCGCGCCCCGTCCAGCACCGCGCCGAAGCGGAACGCCACGTCCGGGCCCCCGCCCGGGGGGCTCACCTGGGGACGGCGATGGGGGGCGGTGGGGGACACTCTGGAAAGGGCCAAGATGCCGGGAGAGGCGGGTGCCCCGGTGTGCTGTTGTAGGGTGGCTGGAGGGGTTTCTCACCTGCAGAGTCCGGGTCCCCGAGCAGTGCAGCGCGCTCTGCTCTCCTCGACGCAGCTCGGCCGCGCTCATCGGACGCACCCTAGATTCCAGGGAGCAGAGATGGTCCATCCTGATAGCTCCATGGGTCCCATCTTCGCCCGGGGAACCTCCTGGTCAACCTATGCCCACCTGAGCACCACTTGGATGGGCGTTTCCGGCCCCTCTGACCCCTGCTCCACGCTCCGCGCCGGGTCCCTGTGGCAGCAACGTGAGTTAGGGTCTCTGAGCCCCGCGCTGTCTGCTGGGCGCGACGGTCGGGCTCCCGGAACTGTCCCAAGGCTCTGCTTACCCGTCGGGAGAGCCACGTTCCTCCATGTCCAGCTCTGCGCCCGGCATTAGCCCCGCCCGAGTCTGGATCCTTTCCTTGGAGGGCTCCCTCTCCAATACCAGCTCTTTTCCGCCGCACGGGGACTGTCTCCACAGGGTTCATTCCCGCCCCCAACCCGCCAGCCCGGCGGTCATCCATCCGTAAAGCTCCCGCCTGCCCAGGGCTAGCTAGTTAAAGATTTACCCACCCCACGCTGAGCCCGGAAAGTCCCAAGTTAGGCCCCCTCACTGAGACTCTCTTACTCCTGGCCAGTTCCATCAGCAGGGACCCATGGGACCACCCAGACCAGCCTCCTTTGTTCACAAAGGGACAGGAAACCAGGATACGAAGGACACAGTCAAGGCCACAGAGCTACCCTGGGCAGAGCCTGGACCAGGCTTGTCCCTCCACACACCGGCCCCTCTCCCAAGAGTTCCAACTTTTCAGTTCAGCACACAGAGAGGGGAGAGGCTTGGGCACCAGGGAGGGGCCCAGGTCTCAGACAGCTCTAGGGAGGTCCCGGCTGCCTGTCGCTGAGCTGAGAGCAGGTTTCCATTATCTGGATAAATATTGGAGCGCCTGCGTCTATAATGCCAAAGCTAATCCAAGGCCAGGGCGCTGTTTGACTTTCCCCTCAGGCTTCCGAGAGCAGCAGAGATGTCTGTGAGTGCACAGCCTAGGCAACCATTCATTTTGTTCCATTCTCCAGGCTGAGCACCAGGGCAGAAGAATCACAAGCAGACCTGTCCCTCCCAGCTCCCAGTCCGACTGAGTGGACAGGAGAACAATCCAGTGTGCAGGGCCTTTGCGGAGCTCAGAGACTTGTAGGAGCCGAGGGCCAGGAGGTGAGGGTGGTCCAGACAGAGGACACTTGCTTCAGGAAGACACTGAGGGGCGTGGAGATGGGTGTGGCAGGGAGAGGTGGTTTGAGGTGGACTCATTTCATGGGGGGCACATCAAGGAGCTGGGCTCACTCCTCAGGGAACCAGGAAGCCACTGTGTGTACCAGGAAGGAAGTGACACTGTCGGGTCGGCATTATCAGTGGTACTGTCATTCTGGCTGGCTCTATATGTTCTCTGAATATTTCCACAAACTCCTCTCCCCCTGAACACACAGCAGCTGGAAATCCTAAAATCCACCCGCTGTGTACTGTGACAAATGACAGCCAACCATCAAAGCCAATTTCTAGAATACGGGCCACCGTGGGTGGCAGCAAGCTGCCCAAGCACTGGAGGTGTGCACGTGAGAGCCACTTGTCAGGTTAGTTACAGGATCCTCTGACCGGCTACAGGGAGAGGTCTGTAGAGCCAAGAAACAGTCCCCAGCCCTGCCACTAAGTGGCCTCTGAGCCGGGCCCCCCTGGCCTGTGTCCTCCCTGTGAACCGGGTGAGTGGTCCTCTCCTATTCTACATGGTCGTTTTGAGAGTTCCATGAGACAGAACTGAAAGTTATTCGCACACGGTAACGAATTCCCTGAAAGCCTAAATAAAAATCCCCAAATGATCTTCTTTCCATTTTTCAACCCCTGAGGTGGATCGGGAAAGAAATACTATTCCTGTTTCTCACCTGGAAAAAACAAAAAGAGGGGAAAGAGGCACTGTCTCCTGTGAAGGCAGGAGAAGCCCCCACAGAAGGAAGCAGCTATGCACATCCCAACTGAAGAGCTTAAATCAAACACTGCAGGCGGTAGCTCCTGATGCCACCTGTAGCCTGTAGAGTCATAACTCCATTTAGAGACGAACAAGTTGCATCTTTAAATGCCCTTGGGAGTGTTAAATCAGAAATTTGCGTCCTGGTGTGCAGGGCTTAGTCGGATTGCTGCCTTGCTCATGCTGCTCAGCCACCCGAATGGGATTTGATAAAAGTGCAAAGACAGGATATGCGCCTGCTGGGGACATGAGGGCTGCTGGGAGGGGACTTTAGCACCAGGCATCCCAACCTGAATCAGAATGTGTGCATCATCTGACACCACAAGCGAGAGTCTGCTCCTTTTTTTTTTTGTTGTTGTTCCCTAACAGTGAGTGGGGACATTTGCTACCCTTAAATGGAGCATTCATGAGCAGAGTTTTATATGCCTTCTCTGTATGCCAGGCTTCTCTGCACTTGGGATTATGGGTGAACAAAACAGGTAGGGATCCCTGTGCCGCAGTCTGGCTGGGCACAAATAACCGAGCCACCACAAAGCCTTGTAGGTTCAGACAGCAACCCTTTATTCCCGAACTCTCACCGGCACTCTACACACACTTCCCGGGAACACATTACCTCCACCCGGCTCCACGCGCCAATTCTCTCATATCCTCACAAGAACTCCATAGTAGCGGGCGCCCAAGGCAGCAGGATCCTCCCTAGCTGCCCTATTCCCGGAGCAGCCCTATTCACAGAGCAGGGTCACCTTTCAACCATTCCCTCTGGCAAAATGCCAGGCGTCATTCCGACTAAACTGTGGCTCTCAACATCCCTGTCCTTGCGGAGAGGGCCTTTCGTGAGGAGGAAGAGGCCAAAATAAGCACCTACGTAACCTGCAGAGCATGTTGAAAATGGAGAACTGCTCTGCAGGTCCCGAGCAGAGGGGAGGACTGAGCGCTGGGGTGGGAAGGTCGGAGTTTACACAGCGCAGTCATGGGGTCATGAGATGCCTCTCTGAGAAAGAAGGGGACATTTGAGTCGAGACTTCAAGGAGGAGAGTGAGTTAACCAAACAAGAAAATATCTGGGGGAAGATTAGCCCAGACAGAAGAAAGGTCAGTGGGAAGGTCCTGCGGCAGAGCAGACCAGTGTATTCAGGAACAGAGGAGGGTGGGGTGGAGCAAGGGAAGGGTGACCGGAGGTCCCAGAGGGCACAGGGCTTGCAGAGAGCTCTTAAGGACTCAGGCTTTTACTCTGGATTCATAAAGGAGACGATGAGAAGTGTCCAGATCTTGAATAGAGCTGACAACATTTGCTAAAGTGTTAGACGATGTATGTAAGAGAAATCAAAGTAAATGCAAGCACTGGCACACCTGCATTCTTCAACAGTTTTTTTTTTTGGGGGGGGGCATGCTAGGGATTGAACCCAGGGGAGCTTAACCACTGAGCCACATCCCCAGCCCTTTTTATATATTTTTTTGGAGACAAGGTCTCACTGAGTTGCTTAGCACCTTGCTAAATTACTGAGGCTGGCTTTGAACTCGAGATCCTCCTGCCTCAGCCTCCCAAGCAGCTGGGATTAGAGGCCTGCACCATCACACCTGGCCACATCTTCAACTCTTAAAGACCAACACAAAGAAAAAGACTTAAATGCAGCCATGGGGAAAAAATGACATAGCACTGAAAAAGGCAGCCCAAAGACTGACGAATACTTTCAAGAACAAATATACAATAGGTGACGTCTCTAAAAGGCTAAATTTAAAAAATAAAAATCCACCTAGAATTAGATGCCTGACAAAAGTATCCTTCCCAAGCGCAGCTAAAACAGACATTTCAAACCAAGAGCAGCGGACCAACTCCCCACTGCTGGATCAACATGGCAAAACATACCAAGGAAGTTTTGATTTGGTTTTTTAAATGTCGGATGAAGATGATCCCACGTGGATATGTGGACAGCAGGAGAAAACAGGAGCACCAGAGAATGAGGAAGTAATCCCTGCCACTGCTTGAAAGAAACTCTGTGTCTGGCGACCATGATTATAGAGAGAGAGACAAACACACGTGAAATAAAAGGTGGGAGGGGGAGACCAGCTGTGGATTGTAGAGTTCTTCTATTGTCTGGGGAGTGATAAAAGCACTAACTTAAGGTCGACCTAAGGTCATACATCAGAGATGGAGAGAGACATCTTTAAGATAATTGCTCTGAAAATAATGATGGCACAGGCCTGTAATCCAGCGGCTCAGGAGGCTGAGGCAGGAGGAGCACAAGTTGGAGGACAGCTTCAGCAACTTAGAAGGACCCCAT